AAATCCTAAGTCAGTAGGACCGTGAAGTTGATCCGAATGGGAACCTGTACCACGATCACCAACAATCACAATGCCATCTGTTGATCTAGGTAGCCATCGTGTGATTCGATGATTGCCCTATTCAGTGATATAGAGAGCACCTGATTCATCAACAGCAATTGAGTGTGATTTTGATAGTTGTTGTGTACCATTATGTTCTGATCCACCGATTACAATCGAGATATTTGTTCTCCCTTCGTCTATCTGAAACACTCGATCATGGTACATATCAACCATATAAATAGATCTATGTCGATCAACAGTCAATGGGAAAGGTCCAACTTCACCAGACATGAGTACTCGACCATTCGTTACACGTTTACCATATTTCTTCAGTTTTGATGAAGATATAGACGATATATAAATTGATTCTTCATTATCTATTGCCGTGCTAAATGGTCTATCTGTATTAATCATTATTTCGCTTCTGTTAGCACCTTGAATCCATTTTTGAACTTGATTATTATATAAGTAGATGTTTAAACAATTAATTTAAGTTCTATTTAAAAAGAATTTTTCAATCAAAAACAAGTGACAATTCCAACTCTTTTCTAACTTAGAATTCGAGTCGACTGTCTTATTTTTACGACTGTATAACAATCGCCCATCCTTATATTGAAGCACTGTACTTCTTCAGAATATACTCATCCTTCTCACTTGTTGGTGTTTCAGTCTATGTATATAAGTAGTGTGTATATTCGAAAGAAGAATTCAAAACGATTAGTATAAAATTTATCGTCATATTAATAGCTAAGAAAAGAAATGAAACTGAAAATTTGTTCGAGTTGTTATATTTATGAAATTCTATAAAAAAATTTTACAAAAACATTTCATCTTCTTATATTCTCTTGTAATAGAAATTTCTTCAATATTTGCTTTCCATACTTACTATATAATAAAAAGTTTCTTTCAAAGCCAAATGATAATCTCTTCATTTGAATCAATAATGATTTTAGATGATGAATAGTGATCACTTCTCGAACGAATACATTCAGTAAGAATTGTCAGAAGTATATCACGAGATGTAAAAGGTAAACTTCGATGAGTACTACAACATCTATTAATATGTAACATGATAAATTTTGATGAAGAAGATACGAGAGCATCGAAACATAAGAGGATCCGAGTTGCGAGTGACTTTGGTGAAGTAAGTGAGAAACGACGACCACCAAATGAAAGATATTGTAATTGAGGAAAAGCTTTGTTTGTTGGTAATCGTTTAATCAAAGATGCAGATGGAATGTTTGTGCATGATTCCATAAGAATATTAAGTTGTCGAACGAATGGCCAAGGTAAAGAAGAATGTTTAAGAAGAAGTTGAATGTCAGACCAGTATAACGTCAAAGATTCAAGTGCACAAGCACATTGACGAAATTGTTCGAGAATAATACAACGATAATGATTTAGTGTTACACATCGATAATACAATTTATTAAATTTGATTGGATTTGAATCAAAATTAAGTTTCAGATGACGTAAACATGGAAGTAATACATGCCAAGAATCTAGATTTATATTCATTTCCTAAACAATCTAAATAAATGAAAATGTCCATAGATTTACATTGAATATTTACTTTAATATCAAAAAATAAAACAAGTGAATTAACATATTGAAAATGAGTAAGAGTTGTATTGATAGATAAAGAATCACGATCAATTGTCCATTCAATATGATTTATATTATTATTGATTGTCGGTTGTCGTCCAAACGTATGATTATATACTTGTCGTTGATTATTTAATAGATATGGAACTGTGTAAAGTACCATCAATTCATTTATCTCATATTCAACAGTATGATGACTTAAATTAAACCAGTAAAGATCAATGTTTTCAAGCTTTGTTTCAGCAGGTAAATAAAGTACAAAATGAAGACAACGCAGACAAATCATAAAATTTGTAATGCATCTTTTAAATACAATAAGTTCATTCTTATCTAAAAATGAAAGAATGATTTTATCAACTATAATCATTGATAATCTAGTTTTTCTATTAACTATACATACCTTTAACATTACAGTTTATTAAAATTAATGATTCAATTTGACTCATTGATTTCACATGTTGTATCAATACAATAACATTAGTAATGGCTACTTGTCTCAATTGTAATGTACGTAAATGTGTTAGACTAGCTCGACTTATATTGAAATCTTTGGGACATAATGTCAGACAAGATGTATCTTTATATTCATTGTGTAATTTATGTGAAGTATATATTCCATTTTCCATTGTAATATGAAGATGTTCTATTCGTGGTAAAGTATCATATTGCATCAATAATGCTAAATTAGATATATGTTGTAACGAGAGACGCAAACGAACAGTATTCGGAAATGTAAACATTTGATGAGAATAAGTGTCACATTCCGCTAAAGAACTTCCCCATTCACAACATCTTCTATCTAAAACAAGAGAGAATCAAATTTGACATGATAGGCATGTTTATTGGACAAAGATGATCATTGAAAACATCAAAAAAAATATTTTCTTTATCCTTGTATAAACATCATATCTTGCAATATTATATTCATATCACCTGTTCTTTTCTAAATATTTTTCCAAAATGAAAATCTTTTCAACAATTTTTCATTTTACTTGCATTCTACCCATAAAAAGTTCTCAATTGAAACAAATATCTTTGTCGAAATAGAAAAGATTGCTGTACAATAGAATGTTCAATCAGTTTCTCTTAGGCTACGTTCAAAGATTTGAATCGTTGTGTTTAGATTTGTTTTTCGTATTATCAATATTGGATTTTCTATAGATTCTCCTCGACATGAACACATCTGAGGATACTTTTAATGCTCAGATATCCAAAATATGCTTTCTCGAACGTTTAACATCAAGCTTTGAATGTCACAAAATATGGAATCTTCTTTATTCAGAACATTTAGAGATCTTGAGAAAAAAAAACGGAAGTCTATCTGTCACTCTTCTATATAATCGTTCAAATCTTTTATTTAATGACACTAGAGATATATTTTACAATCGATTTCTCTACATCACAGATTTAAGAATAACTTATTTTGTCATACATAAATAAATTTCACTTTCACGATTAATTTAATTCCAATCTACATCTAATGATAAAAATAATAGATTGATATCATTTTGTTTTCTTATCAAATAATCTCTCAAAACAAGTTCACTAACTAACCTTGATATGAAGTTAAGAAAAAAAAAATTCTTATACATTATGAGTTTTCAATGAATCCATTACGAAATTCCCTATGAAATATGTCTAAATAATATAGATACTGATGTTATTTAAATAAAATATTTCATCAATAAATCATAAGTAGATTGAAGAAAACAATCTATATAGAACGAAATTTTTGGACTTGTGTACATTCAATGATTGTAGAATTTATAACTTTCAATATCAAGCTTTGAAATATATCCGATTAAGATTAATTCAACAATGAAATTTATTTATAGATTATTTTTTTCTGAATTCCTTAAAAAGATACGCAATCATCAATGTATATCATATTTGATGAGTTACTTCGCTTTCATTAGTCTAAAGTTCAGTTCTAATTAATTCGAAATATTCGATAATCTGCGAAGACATACGAATATTCCTCAACAAAAACATATTTCTTTACCTCCAATAATGATAAATTGCATTGTATGCAGAGAAATGCGTTGT